TTGAAATCACCATATCCGCGCGTGAAAGAGCGACGCGGGAAAAGAAAGTCCTACGCCTATCCGTATTCGCACAAGATTCCGAGAGTTTTCCCCAAGGCGACCAAGAACATTCACTCGCAAAAAGGACACGTCGAAGTTCCGCTTATCTCGGAATTCCCAACTGTCGGACACAATTCCCAGTGCGCTCGCTAAGGCACACGTAATTTCCTATGTATTTCTCGAATCGAAAAAGGTTTTGGAAGATGGAGGCCCAAAACACGGCACCCAAAAATCAAGAAAACGAAACGGGGTTTTTATGGGGTTGGTATGATACAAGCAAAAAGGGGTACGAAAGATAGCACAGGTTCGGGAAGTAGTTCGTCACATATGTGACGCGCAGGGGGTTCCAAAATTATGCGATCTCCTGATTGCATGTCATGGCGGAGAAGGAGAGAGAAAGCGGGAGAACAGAGTGATGCATGAGGAACCAAGCGTATCAACAAACGATCCGCCCAGAGTCCATGTTGACGCCAACTGCAATTGCAATCTTTTGTTGGCTCGTGCTGCTGGAATACTCGATGGTCATCCAGGTGACGCCATCATCGTCCACCGGTTTTCCGTCTGCTATGCACCCCAGTTTATCACTGCCCGTCGAATTATAGCGTAGGTTGACGTCATCATCGATGGCGTGATCTTTGGGAAACTTACTGATTCGTGCCGTTTTCCCCGGCCGATTAGATGAAGAGAGAAAAAGGGGGGAGGGGGGGGAGGGGAATAGTCACGTGATCGGGATCTACCTCCTAGTGGGAATGGGCCAGTAGAGACGGTACATGGGGGGGATCTCACGGGGACGTCGTGGAGGGAGCGGAGGTAGGTAGCGATTCACCCCTCCTACCGTCACCGGAAGCTCCTCATATCGGATGATCCGGTGGAAGCGAGGAAAGTGATCGTCGCTGCGAGGGAGGGAAGGGAGGTAGTAGTCGCCATAAAAGGAGGAGAGGGTGCGGAAAAGCGCCCCTCGAAAGAACTCGTAGTGGCGACAGGCGGGGATTGTCCCCGTGGCTACGCAGTAGACTTCTACCGCGTTGCATTGCTCCCATGCAGCGGTGAACAGCAGGATATGCCAGCAGAACGTGGGGGCAGCGGGCTGAAGGGATGGGTGGGGGTGGACGGTAGCGAGTAGGCGGGTAGAGTAGAAGTCGCGGAAGAGATGAGGGAGGAAGGGATGGAGGGGGAAGGTGACGGGGGTGGGGATCTGTTCGAGGGTGAGAAAATCAAGGGGTCGGCGGGATAGCTTCCGAGGACGAAGGCCTATTGCCCGCATCGGTACGTGGGCGAACTGGGGGACGGGTGGGGCTGGAGGAGGAGGGGGATCGGCTCCGTCTCCGCCGCGCAACACTTGAGGTGGCGGCTGCAGGGTCGCCATCTTCGGGCTTTGGCGGCTCCGGATCTCTGGTTAGATCGTTACCAATGCGCAGGCTGGCTCCGCTGGCGAACTCCAGCTGGCGCTTCCCGGTGGCAATTTCTTCGCGCTTCCGCGCTGCTTCCGGATCTTCCGTGTAGCGGACCCACCAGGTGTGGTGCTCCGCTAGTGGTAGAGATGGAGATGGAGGAAGAAAGGGGGAGCGAGATGGCACAACGCAGCTCCCCATGCAAGACTCCAACGCACATACTCCAAAATGTGCAAGTGAAGAATGAGGACGAAACAGACAACTGTTGGGGTATACCCCAGCGAACTGACTGAACTGGACTGGACAGGCTGGTACCGACAGAGGTACCGGCCTTGACTGGACTCGAATGCCCCCGAATAGAACACAGGCCTGTGAGAACAAGCCAAGCGGCTGGTCTCACAGACCAACCAGAGGTCCGCTACATTTCGCCTCCGTGCCCGTGCGCGCCGCTTCCTCTGGCAAAGCTTCCCACTCAGACTCGGTTCCTTCTTCTCCCTCTTCTTCTTCACTCAGCTCACCCTCGCTATATTCGCTATAGCTTCCCTCCTCCAATGTTTCCTCGTCGGCGTTCTCTTCGTCGTTGTTGTCGATCACCACTTCCTCGGCCTTCGGATAAAAGGCGTGAGGGATGATATCGTAAGGCTTGAGATACTTCTGCCGCGATGGCAGCGTATCTTCGTCCCTGGGCTCCTCCAAGCACGCAGTCCACTGAAGGTACGGATCCAATGACCGCTTGAGAACGTACAGAGCAGGACTGTCATCACTTTGCGAATAGATGTAGGGCGAGAGATCGTCCGCCAATTGCACGATCGGTGCGATGAGCTCCTGCGCAATCAACGGGTGGCGCCCTGGCTGTACCGATCCAAAGAGAAAGCCAAGAAGATCGCCCTCCACATTAGTCCTCCAAGCCTGTATGATCAGCAGTTCCACACTCTTGATCCACGCAGGATGCTCGCTGGTTCGCGTCCACGTTACCCGTTCTCCGGCCAAGCAGAAGGACAACTAGTCAAAAGTATGCCGGACGATGGGGACAGAGGTATGGCTGGCACTAGCCTCAGGCGCGATGCGCACCGTGTTGGCGCCGTTGGGTCCGAGCTCGACAACGCGAAAACAGCTAGAAAACTTGGGAGCGAGTTTCCGGTCGCGTGCACATTTACGTACCTTCTTTAGGTCCCCTAATTTATATTGATGCTGGGGCCCAGCATTTCCATTCCGAGCCTCGTAGCTATGGACCTGTCTACCGTGGGCGAGTTTGGTCATCCGTTGCCTTTTTCGGGCTAGCTTCGGGATGGCCCGTTCCATTAATTCGATGTACCTTTTGGCCTTGGCCTTGAGGGCTGCACGCGTGTCTCTACCCCCTGCTTCGACAATTTCCGAGTTACCCCGGTAGTCGACACAGGCGAGGCTATTAGTTCGAAGCTGAAAAGGGGTAAACCCCGTGGACTCGTGAGGAGTGGCCCGGTGGATCTCGATGATCTAATATATGATCTCGGGCCACGGACGCGTGTCGTGTGCTGCTAAGTTCCTGCGAAGGGCGGTTTTAATCATACGGTTGTCATTTTCGGCCAACCCGTTCGACTGGGACACGTGGGGTGCCGTATGTCGGAGCGTGACGCCCCTTCGCGCAAGCAGTTCTTCTACCTCACCCTTGAATTCACCCATTCTCGGTTAGAATTTCTTCCGTATCTAGATGGGTATAGAGGAACCGTTCGATGTACGTGGCTATTTCTGCGGCTTTTCGGGTCTTACAGGGATAGACTTCGATGTACTTGGAAAAATTGTCTATTAATACTAACAGGATAGAATATTCCCAGCGGTTTGCGCCAGGTGGCACGTCGATATCCGTCGTGTCCATACTGACTCACTGGAATAGACGCTCTACTTCCGTTGGTACTATCGTGTTTGGTCCCCGTATTGGGGCGCGATCAGCGGCACAGACCAGACAGTTGGCAACAATGTATTTGACATCATCTCGTATATTGGACCAGAACCACCGGTTCTGGTCTACAGTTGCCTCCGTGACACGTATCGCGAAATGAGCGGCCTGTTCTTCGTGAGCAGATCGGATCCAATCATATCTCTGGAATGGATGGGGAACCGTCAACCACGAACCCGATCCGTCAGTTTTACGCTTTTCCAAATGACCGTTGATCCATCGATAGTCCCGAGATCTCTCGGTCGCCCTACGTCTGTCGTGTTTGGTGAGGTGACCCAATGATAATCCCGCTAATTTCGCCAATAAAGTTTTATCCGTCCAAACCTCCGCTCGTCGGTATTTTTCGTCGTATTCAGGGTCGTCCGTACGAGCGGCCTCGAATCGAACCTCCGTAGGGAGTTTGTCCGTTCTACACAAGGGGCACCTCCATTCCTTGCTACTCGTCCGATATCGAACGCAGGCCCCGTGTGCACGATTGACACACGTGGCACATTCTACCCAATCGACAAACGCGGTTTCGAAAGGATAACAGTCGACCCCATAAACCCGTGCAATGCACGTGCAAAAATAACAAACTTTATCGGCGAGGGTGGCAAAGAAAGCTGAGGACGTGAGAGGGGCAAAATTAGTAGGAGATGAAGGGGTTGCGGAGGCAGGTGGGGTAGTCATGATGACAGAGGAGGAAGAGATGGGACTGTATTGCAGAGAGGGTAGGACAGCCAAATTAGTCCTCGTGTCGCTTACTGCTTTGATAAGATCTCCAGTTGGCCGTACCGAGGTCCGATCTCTTGTTCGGGTTCGTTCCACAGAATCACCTTCTCACTCTTCGAAACTTTCTCAGGCCGGTGCAGTCGTGTCAGTCCGTCCGCATTCCCGTGTCTCTTGTGCTTCTGATGACGAATGTCAAAGTCCATGCTCTGCAGCACCGTTGCCCATCGCCCGATCATGCCCGAGTAATCCTTCGATTTCTTCAGAGCCAACAGGGTTCATGATCAGTTACCAGGGTGAACTTTCGCCCATACAGGTAAGCGCGAAAGTGACTGATTCCCCAGAGAGCCGCGTCGCATTCTCCTGTTGGAGCGGCATAGTTGTGCTTGCAGGCGGGCACCGATTTGGACGCATACTCCACCACACTCTCAAGTCCGCTTAATCCCACCTGGGCAAGGATCGCCGAAATTGCCTCTAGCTGCCTGTCAGTGATGAGAACAAAAGGCTTTTCGGGATCCGGTCTTATAAGGACCGGGACCGAAATGAGAGCGGCCTTGAGTTTGGAAAACGCTTGATCGCACTCCGATTCGGATCAACGGCTGATCTTTGCGCAACAGATTTGTGAGGGGTCCCGCAATCGCCGCGAAGCCCTTGATAAATCTTCGGTAGTACAAGGCCAGGCCCAGAAAGGCGCGAACTTGCGTGATAGTCGTAGGCACCGGCGCATCCCTGACAGCTGCCACCTTCTGCGGCTCCGGTTGGAATCCCTTGTATGTCACCACGTGTCCCAAGAAGGAAATGGTGGTAAGAAAAAACTGACACTTCTCAAGCGCCACTTTGAAACCCGCATCTCGTAACGCGTGCAGTGCCCATTCGATGTGTTGCACGTGTCCTTCGTAGGAACTCAAGTACACCAAGATGTCATCCATATACACAATCACGCAGTAGTTGATGATGATTTGCGCCAAACGAGTCTTCCGCACGAAATTATGAAAAGTCATGTTCATGGCTCGCTGAAAGGTCGCTGGGGTGTTGCAGATACCTATCGGACATCGAATCCACTGCCACGTACCCTCGAAAAGCACAAACGCTGTTTTCGGACAATCTTCTTCTCGAACAAGAAGATGATGGAACCCGTGGCGAACATCAAACTTGCTGAAAAATCGAGCACTCCCAATCGCATCCAACAACTCGTCAATCCGGGGGAGGGGGTACACATCTTTGATTGTGATATCATTCAACTTTCGATAATCAATGCAAATGCGAATCCCTCCGGCCTTTTTAGGCACGATTACTACGGAAAAAGACCAGGGACCTATTGCGGGTTCGATCCATCCATTAGCTTCGAATTCTTTAATCCGTTGAAAAGTGGCCGCTCGTTGAGCTGGCGAGTATCGATAAGGAGCGCAGCTAATGGGTGGATGGTCTCCCGTGAGAATGGCATGCTCGATCACATTAGTTAAGCCGATGTCATTATCGTGTATGCTCAATACTTCTGCGTAACCATTTAACACACAGATTAACAATTTCCGAAGTTCCGCGGGGACGTGACCTAGTAGGGTGATTGTTGATTCCCCGGAAATCTTAAGGGGCATATCGACCCAATCAACCGGCCATTCCCGCCGATCATGGACACTAGAGAAAACGGAACTACTGGTGCGAACAGAGAAGACAATTGCTATCATCTGGGACTTAGCGGGGCTGATCATCTCCGTTTCTTTAGTTTCAGCATCAGTCTCTGAACCAACCGAGGTCGGTTCCATAGTTAGGTCCGTTAGATCCGTCATTTCTTGCATCAGATCAGGTACATCACTTACCGGTGTTTCCGCCTCCTATTTAATCAAGGCGATGGTGGCTCCTGTCGTTAGTAACGATCTGGGCGGAAAAACAGAAGCATCCACATACTGTTCCGTTTGCTGATAACGCGTTCGTAAGGAGAGAGCTCCTTCGTACAAGGTGCGAGGGGGTTCCAAACCATCGGCCAGGTCAGATACTTGTAATATGGGTTCCATGAGCAAGACTGAAGGACTAACTAGGGTTATCGGAGGCGCAAGCGCGCTGTCTCCTGAATCCACGTGGAAGCTTCGCACAATGTCGGGGCACATTCGGAACTCTTCGGGAATTTCGTGTTCGAAAAGTTCGACCAGGTGCTTCCATTCATCTTTGCTAGGCAGCTCTTCTTCGTATTCTTGTTCCCCGATTCCACTATCGATGTCTGAGGAAGAACACTCCTCGGGATTAGTGTATCGAATCATCCCTATTTGGGCCGAGTTGGGGGTTTGTTTTATCGTTCGGGTGAAAATTCGCAAGGGAACAGTTTGAGGCTTTCCCCCAGTTTGCGTGAGCACCAGTTGTTTCGAATCGAAATGCAGTCGTGCGCCCACCGCCATCGCCCAAGGTAGTCCCAACAACACGGAATAGGAACGCACATCTATCACGAGCGCATTGACGAGGACGTGCACTCATCCAACCTTTACAGCCACAGTCTCAATAATGCCTACGATGTTCATTGCTTCCTCGTCAGCTGGGACGTAATTGTCTTTGCCAGATTGAGGAAGAATGGATCCGAGTAGTCCCGTCTTTCGGACAGTGTCTAATGATATGGCTATTGCAGACGCCCCTATGTCCATAAGGGCGTTAAACGGCTTGCCCCAAACTTCACAATCACATTCCGCGCTCTTTCACAGTATCGGCCGAGCTCGTACGAAGTGATATTTTTCTGCTAAAGAGATCGCTGCTATACGTGCGGCTTCAGGTTCGCCGGCTCCAGGTTCGGGCGGTGCAACTTCCTCGCTTCCTTCCTTCTTCTTCAACATTCGCTGTATGCGCTGATAGGTGAAGCGCTTTTGATTTTTCTGGCAATGTTGCAAAAGTTTATCATTCGCCGCTTCGGATATGGTGAGCAGATGTCCCACCGGGATCAGGACACGAATATCCAATTGCTTGAACGCTCGTAACACATTAATCTCTCCTGTCCGAAACTGCGGACCAGGATTGGATTCGCGATCGGCCCATTCGAGATCATCAGGGACCGATCGGATCGCTCCGACCATGCCTGCAAGATGAAGATATTCAAGTGGGTTGACCACGTCAGCAGCGTCAGAGGAAGAAGCTCCCAATATCGACGCCATTGTCGTAGAAGGGGAAAGTTGTTTTGGGGCATATGCTACGAGTTCTCCTCCCTGGGCCGTATCCATCAAAGCG